GGCCTCAGCTTCAAAGACTACGCCCTACTAAGCTGCGGTCAAGTTTTGAGAGAGGATGAGAACAAGCCCGTGTTCGAGACGAAACTCTCTGTTAAGTCATCTGTCTTTCTCACCCCGCGCAAGCAGCATCGCACCTTCTTCATTCTTAGCCAGGACTGGCTCACAAAACTACGCATCCCCATCAAAGCTCGCCCTCAACAAATCAAGGACATCCTGTGGAAAAACCGCAATGTTCCGGAGGGCGGTCTAGCCTCCATCGGGAATTTCCTACAGTGGTATTTCTCGTCTCACACAGGGGCCGCTAGCGTGCAGACCAAGAGGAAAGGTCCAGACGAGAAACTGCTGACGTACGAGGCAAGTGTAGGAGACAAGTTCATGCACATGAAGGTTGAGCAGCCCGGGCGGAGACGACGAGACCGGAAAGACAGACACCACGGCCACAACGGGGCCGTGCTACGTCACAGGTCGGCCGGGCCGGGTCATTTGGAGCGAGAGGGTCACCATTACAGTAAGAGGAAAGCCTTCACATCCATGTCCGCCCAGAAGAGGAGAGGAGGAGAGGGAGGACAACAGGGGCAGGATGGTGGAGAGAACAACAATGGAGACGAGTGGGTGTTCTGTCTACGTCACGACTACACGGTGAACACACACCCCAAGGGCAGACGACACACCAGGCATCAGTAGAACAGACGACACACAAGGTATCATTAGACTGGACACCACACGGGGCACCAGAACACCAGATATTAAAACAAAACAATTAGTGCGAGTTTCTCCTTTAGTTTTTGCTAGAGTTTTACAGCACTTGCAACACAATAAGGTCAAATAAGTGCCAAAGATTAGAGGTGTTACAAGAGAGTAACAAATACAAAAAGGAGGAGAGATAAAGACTATAGTTGTTTAATAGGAAAGAAGGAGCAAACCACACCAGAGCATCCACCAACCACCCACTAGGTTTCTCCTGATGGTCAACGTAAGGTACATCGCAGCAGGCACCAGTACAGACAGGGTCATGGGGGTCAGAGAATTCGTCATGATGGCTAGTACAATAATATTCACACCAGGAGAAGACAACCCCATCAGTGGGAAATGAATAACTGTACCTACAAATGTCACACAATGAGTGAGGCCTACATCCTATAAGGACAAAAAAAAGAAACAGCCAGTTGGGCAGACTGTTTTTTTATATTATTTTTGCTGAAAATTAGCCTCAACTACTTTTCCACACTTCTGAGTCTTGACGCAAGGTCTGAGACCGGATTTAACGCAGCTACGCAAAATGGAGTGAGTGCTATTAACGAACAGCATACTATCATAATTACTGGATAATTGTAAGCACAATATCCACCTTGATGACTTGACAGCAAGAGAAATCTTGGAGAAGATGTATTTGCAGTGCACATGTCAATGTGTATAACATATGAAAAAAACAGTGAAATGGTGTGGTTTCCAGAATCTGGATTTGGCCGGCTTTCATCAAACCCAATTTCACTGGTTTTTCCGATTGACAGACATTATGATTTTCTTCACACTATAGGATATGCTATACAGGCAAACAGAAAGACTAAGCAGGACGGCTCAGTATAATATGATAGATTGATACTCGAATTCAAGTGTGATGTGATCTAGAAGACAAAGAAGATAACGACTTGCCGCATAGCAAGTAAAACTGTGACAAGGAAACAGGTAAAATAGCTGACTTGGGACTGGACCCTACAGAGGAGAATAAGGAAGACAGGCTCAGCTCAGCAGATCTGGTTCCAGAAGGAAGACTGTCTCATTCAGTCTCAGTCATCGCAGTAAAACATCAAGGAGAAAAGGGGAACAACTCAAGCTCATTGTGCCACAACTATTCATACCTGCATACTGCACCAAGGTTAGTTTGTGCATCTAAAACATGGTGTGCTTATTGGCATGACATATTCAACTGCTGGTTGAAGTGACAAGAGACACAATGACACATTAATAGTCCCAAAATTTCTTTGATAGCCTCTCCAGCAGAGATGACTAGTCCCTACTGTGCTCTCAGCTGACCCAAATGAGAGGTTTCCTCAAAATACCAGGACAATTTGTACAGACAATGTTTACAGCAGTAACTGTGATAAAAATATTATATAATTCTGTTTGTTTCTTTGTTGCAGTGCCCAACGGAATTATGCAATGGATATACTGAGTGACTCTTCAGTAGTAAAGGTGACATTTCAGTATTATTCAATATCTCTGTATAGATGTATATATATATATTTGTGGAAGCCATAATACTACTGGCTCACTTGCCATTATTTCTACCCACTTTCCTTTAGCTGTTTAAGAGAGATATCAGCTCTTTGTTCGTGATTGTGTTTAATTATAACCGACTGCCACAGTAGACACAGAATAGAGAAAGATTGATACAGCATAAAGATATGTGATAGCAGTGTTTAATTTTAAAAACACCAACATAACATGTGAAAGGATGCCACTTTCATTTTTCTAGCTTTCTTAAAAGTAACAGGACCGTTTAGTTATAGAAAGAGGTTTACTGCGCTTGCAATACTATTATATCATACAAGTTCCAAAGATTAGAGGTGCTACAAGAGAGTGACATAAGGAAAAGAGAGAGAGAAAAGGAAGAGAAGCGATAAGGATGATAGCTTTTTGAAAGGAAAAAAGGAGCTCCTTTACAGGACCTTATGACATCCACATCACAAAAAAAACCAAAACAAAAAAAACTGCAACAAAAACTGTTGCGGAATAGAAGAAATAAGATTTAAGAGGTTCAAGCTTTCCGCAATTTCCTAATTCTCAACAGAGTGACCTGCGTCCAAAAATAAAACTCCCATCTCATGACTTACCTCTAGCACCTCCTCGCCCTTGAACCACTTGACGCGAGCGCGAGGGTCAGAGACGAAGCACTCCAGCAGACCAGTCTTCTTACGGCACACTTTGTACTTCTCCGGAAGTTTCTGAGTGAAGTAGTACTCCGGCTCTTTGGCTGTGGATACAGGGAGGTCATAATAATATGTATATTAATTATGTGTTGTTTTTCATTACAGATTTCTGTTATTCATTAAAAGAAATAACCAATAACAATAAAAATGTCGTGGTTGGCGTTACTTTGTGTCCCCCTCTGACTGACTCTAATGCATACACACACACACACACACACATACACACATACACACAGACACAGACCAAAAATGCAACTCATACGCATGAACATAGACAACAAACAAACATAATGTAGACAAAGAAGCACACACATAAACACACACTTACACATTATGCACTCTCTTCTTTCACAGGGCTGTAAAACAAACACACACACACACACATATACACACACTCCCTCACATACACACACATACACACACACGTGTATACACACACACACACACACACACACACACACACACACACACACACACACGCTCACACAATCGGTTAATTCAGTGTGATTCTATTTGGTCTGGAATAAGGCCGACTTTGTCAGTCTGACCCGCCTGTCAGTGCAGCGTAAACAATGGGACATGTGAGGGAACCTGCTGTAGTTTACACACTTCGTCTCTCTCTCTCTCTCTCTCTCTCTCTCTCTCTCTCTCTCTCTCTCTCTCTCTCTCTCTATCTATCTATCTATCTATCTATCTATCTCTCTCTCTCTGAGTCTGATTTTCTCTCCCCTACCCCCTTCACT